AAACAAAATTTGTACACATGACCTGTTTGGTGATTATACTTCATAATACTTTGATTTTACATTTCTTGAATATTCCTTATGGTTTGTGGGTCTCTAACTTCATTATGATTTTAATGCATGAAGGTAAAGCTTGCAATCTTTCTCTATGGAAAGGGAAAGTGGAGTTGCATTAAGAGTAAAGATGAAAGTTCTATAAGTTTCATATATGTGCTAAGTATTATATATTGTCTTTGAAGTTCTAATCATTCTTTTATATGATTGTTGTAGATTTATATTCGTAGTGGAGGCGGTTGTTAACCTACTTCTGTTGTTGTGATTGTTATCAAATATTTATGATAAGTGCTTAGCATGTTTATATAGCTTGACAACTAGGGAATTGACTAACCATCTGTCGATTTTTGTACTTGTATCTGATTGTGTTTTCTCAAGTTGTTATTAGTTTATGTTTGTGCCTTTATATACCGCATAACACATGGATTTTGAAAAAAACATCGTAGCGTATCACAAGGAAGGATTGCAAAAAAATTGTTCGAAACTTTGAAGTAACACCATAACCTTGTGTTCATTGCTTGAAGCCTTTGTCAATCTAGTGCATTTTAAATTTTATTGAGTACATGCGGTGAATTTTCTGCTCTTTGTTTAGTATTAATTGTTATCTTCATCTGAATGGGCGAAATTGAGTTTCTACAAATATTCTTTAGTTATTTTGTTTGGAAACTTATTTTTTATGCTAACAATGAACTTTAAATATGTGTGTGTGTGCGCGATAGTAATCACTAAATTAGATAAGTAAGATCATAATCTGCTTTATTGAAAAAAAAAACTTTCACAAATTAAGGAATGACCAAAGAATGTTGATTTTTAAAGCTGACCTGAAGATATTAACATGGTGTATGTCTAAATCATTTATATTGATTGTCTCTTTGTTAGATACAATTGACTGACTTTAAAGACTTTAATCATTTCTAATTTACTTATTACTAATTGATGCAAATTTTTATGTTTGATTTTGGTAGTTTGGTTCTTGTGGCTTTTTGGTGTTTTTATTGGGCAATGATGATTGGTTTTGTTCATCCCAGTGTTTCCTTGGATGGCCTCTGTGTCTCTGCTCAGGCAATCGGTGCATTGGGTTATTGTCATTTCTTGAATTCTCATGTGGGATATTTGTTTGCAAAATGAGTCAAGTTTAATTTCCTTCTTCCTTACTCGATTATGTACTCTTATTTAGGGAGTTTTGTTTATTTTCCCATCTTTTAATTTTTGACAAGTGTTGTATTATCTCTATGATATATTGGACATAAGATTTACGTACTATTAATATTCATTCAATTTATATCTATATAGTATCTTCTTGATTTTTGCAATTTAATTACAAAATCCAATATTTTGCATTATATTCTTTTCACCTATTTCACCCTTTAGCAGTAGTTTTAATCACCGCTATTTCAGAACTGTAGTGGTTAAAACCGATGCTAAAGCTACTATTGCCAAAATTTTCTCATAACACAATGGTTCAAAGAGCACTGGAAAAGTCATTGCAACACTTGCAAATACTGCGGATTTGCAATACTTTTTAAACCATTGCAATGAATTTAATTGTGCTTTAACCGCTGCTGTAGGTCAAAAAATGTGCTTCAAAAATTTAATTTATTAGTAGCGATAACTACTATATCCATTATAATAATCAAAATAAAAAACATTCCAAAAAATTTCACATTAATTTCCTCTCATATGCTTATAACTTTTTGCAAATGCACATGTTACTCAAACCATTATGCCTATATGTAAGAATGTATGTAATCAATGGCCAATTTATCTATCAAACTGGTTTTTATATCTAGATATTTAATAACGTGTAGATGCAAAACCATCAATACTTTCAATAAATATAAACATGTTATATAATGTCACATAAGTGCATAAGAATTGAATTTATGACAAAAACAACAGAATTTATATATAGGATCAATAGGTGTACTCTATTCAACATACATAAATCACAAATATATTTGCAGGCAACACTCATAATATTAATATTGTGCTCTTATGATAGTAAATTAATTTGTATCTAAGATGCCAAAACTATAGTATCATTTAAAATACATGATAAAAACTCAATACGGACGTGCTAATATGTGCATAATAAATAAGACAATAACATACTAAAATGTATACGGTGAACTTTGCTAAAATATTGATATATCATAATTTTTGTAAATCATGTCTTAATTGAATATGAGAAATTGCATGAAAAAGTAAAATCATCTAAAATTAAAGTACGATAATGATAGCACATCTCATATGAATCATTTTCTTAAATAGCCTGCTTCACAAAGTTGACTGAGGTTTTGTTTGGGACGGCTTTCTTACTGCTTCTTACTGCTTTAAGAAACAGTAAGCAAGCTTTCCCAAATGAAGCCTAATTCCATTGAAAATTGACTTTATCTCTTTATAAAGTCTCAACTTATGGCCATGGGAATTAAAAAAATGCTTTGGAAATGATTTTTGAAAGCTTCAGGACAAATATTTATAAGATATAAGAAAAATAATATAATAGTATTATTATAAATAATTAAAATGTTAGGATTTAAAATTAATTTTATTTAAATTCCGTTATATCATGACATCTAAAGTTTCAAAAACTATACAAAAAAATCATAAAATAATACAAGTCTAGAACATTAAGGAAAATGATTCATAAAATGAACACTTATCAATTATGTAAAGAGTTTAAGTCGAATAAGAAACCTCCTCTTTTCAATATACTAATAAAGCTCATAAAAATAAATAGAAATATACATAAAATAGAGTACAAAATACTTTATAATGGGGTGAAAATAGCTTATAAAGTATACTTCAAACAAGTCCAAAAATTTTGGATGAACATAATAGGTTAAATTTGATCTTTTAATAGTTCAAGAGGTCATATCATTCTTTTTAGAAATCTTTTGTATAATTATCTAGAGACCAACATCATTTGAGAATGCACTTAAGGGACAACTTTGCTCATTATATTAAATATATATTATTAGGGACGCTCAATGAAAATAATATTTGTAATCTTCAAGTCCAACACCCCCCCTTCAAGTAAGGTTACTGTCACTCATCTCTCTGGATTATCTTTGTAATCTTTCACTCACTCTTTTTCTATCTCTCATTACTCCAAGTTGGATGTACGTCATTTGACCAATCCACTCTAAACCATATATCATCTTTCTATATTGTGACATTTTTGTCCACTTAGGACTGCAAACAAATCGAGTCGAGCCGGACATAAGCTTGTTCGTGTTTGAGCTTGTTTATTCATAGCTTGTTCAAGCTCGGTTTGAGCTCAATTCAAACTTTTCATTTGAGTTCATGCTTGGTTCATTTAAAATGTTAATGTTTGATTTATTTTATGTTTATCAGTTTTAAATGAGAGCAGCTTATTTAAATTAACAAACGAGGCTTATCAAGTTATTAACAAATGCACCTTATCGAGCTATTAATAAATGAGCATAATCAAGATGTTCAGTAGCTTAACAAATAAACCTTATTGAGACAACTAACGAACACTTATATCAAACCCGTTAATGAACATCTCTATCAAGCTTTGTTGAACCCATAAATGAACGAGCTTATCAAGCTTTCTCTAGCTCATAAACAAGTAGCTTGTCAAGCTCATAAATCATATTTTTAATGAACAGGCTCCTTAGTGAATATTGAAATCAAATAGTCTATCAAACATGAGAAAGTATATTTTGAGCTTCAAACGTTAATTAAGATTGATAAGCTTGATGAGACTTAATCAAAATCAATAATGAAACTTGATGAGACTAAATCAATATTTATATCAAACATTAATTAAGATTTCTCACAAGCTCTGTATCACACATGAATCGAATTTCTTAACAAGTTTTTTATTGAGCTTCAAACGATATTGTTCATGAACATAAATGAGTCGAACACATAGTTGTTTAATTATTTAATCATCGAGTATTTAAAAAAATGTTCAAACTTGTTTGATTACTTAATCAAGCGAGCACGAATGAGCTAGAATCAAGCCCCAACACTCATTCCATTTGCAGCCTTTTCTCCACCTCATCATAAGAGTTATAAAGGCGATGTACTTCCCATCTCTTACTCCTAAACTCTTGACATGCATTCTCGACCGCTCTTTACGCAAGCAGGTTTACATAATTTGGCAATATCCTTGGGTCTCACCCTCAAACTTCTTTGAAAGATTTGTTAAGTGTTAAAAAGACTTATTCTCAATTAAAAATCATCTCTCAATTATGAATAATATAATAAAATGGATAAAAATATATCTCGATATAAATTATAATATCAAGGACTTATAGATTATTAGATTTACTCTAAGATAATTCTTATATTTGAAGAATTTACGCTATGTCAATCATGGTAACATGAAACAAATATTTTTCCTAATAGAATTTGCAAACTCATAGTATAGGAAAATAAATCTTAAAATCATATAAAAATTTGTTATCTTTAGTAAGGTTTAATAATTTGACATTTGTGTTCCTAACAATCTTGTGTGTAATAATAAACTAAACAAATAATAATAATAATAATAATTAATATTTTGTTTGCAAAATATTTAATAATAAAACCAAATCCTAAGTTAACTAAGATTAATTAAATAACAAAATAGCAGCTGACAAACCACATCTTAAGATAAAAATTAGAACCAAAGCTAATAAAAAAGGTGAAAGAGACGGGTGATTCATGAGCTAACTCCTTTCCTTTATGCATTGAAAGGTAAGGAGATATGATTCAACTCCATCTCTTCACAATATTCTATTCCCCATCTCCTCTTTTCTGTCCCCAAAATATAAAAAAATCATGAGCTTTTCTCTTAATTATGATTAGCACAAACTAATCACAATTGCTTCTATCTAATCACCTTTTTTATTCTCTCTCCTCCCTCTCTTTTTTTGTCTCTTTCCCTTTGTTTAATTTATTAGTTTGATGGACAAAAGGTGGTCTTTAATCTCTATCCGCATACTCACGGCATACCAAGACACCACACCTTCTCTAAACCCTAACATTTACGCTTAACGCGTAGCAGCCATCTCTCTCTCTCTCTCTCTCAGGCTCTCTCTCTTTCTGCTTTTCTCTCTTTCTCTGTTAAGCTTCATATACTCATTTAAAACAGATGATGAGAAAGAACAGATCAAGTTGTACAGCATAGCTGAGAACAGCCCACGGAGGGGTCACAGAAGAAAGAAAGAGAGAGCATAAAATTTAAATATCCTTTGGAGATCTGCAGGAGGAGAGAGAAAGCCGCCTTCTTGCCCGGCGAGCTCGAATACAAATCGAATCTTGGGGGCAGAAAGACATGAGAGCAGGGCTGAGCACAATTCAGCAGACACTGACGCCGGAGGCCTCGGCGGTTCTCAATCGAGCAATCGCCGAAGCTGCTCGCCGGCGCCACGGGCAGACGACGCCGCTTCATGTCGCCGCTGCCCTCCTTTCGTCCCCTTCGGGCCATCTCCGGCAAGCGTGCATCCGCTCTCATCCAAATCCCTCTTCTTCGCATCCCCTTCAGTGCCGTGCCCTCGAGCTCTGCTTCTCCGTCGCCCTCGACCGCCTCCCCTCCGCCTCCACCGTAGCCACCCCCTCGCCGGATGATTCCCCAACTCCCCCGCCGCCGCCAATCTCTAACGCTCTTATGGCCGCCCTCAAACGCGCCCAAGCACACCAGCGCCGCGGCTGCCCTGAATCCCAGCAGCAACCGCTCCTCGCCGTCAAGGTCGAGCTCGAACACCTCCTCCTTTCAATCCTCGACGACCCCTCCGTAAGCCGTGTCATGCGCGAGGCCTCCTTCTCCTCCCCAGCCGTCAAAGCATCCATTGAAAACTCCCTTTCCTCCTCCCCTTCCCCTTCTCCTTCCCCTTCCCCTGCTCGCAACCTTTACCTCAGCCCCCGCCTAGTCGGTGCCGCTGCTCCCCCCGCCGTGATCGCCCCTTCGGTCCCCAACGGCGGTGGCGGCGGCGACGTCGCGAAGGTCTTCGACATACTCACGCGCACCAAGAAGCGCAACCCGATCCTCGTCGGTGACGCGGACCCCGGCGCTGTGATGAGAGAAGTGATCGGAAAGATTGGTACAGGGGATGGTCCGGTTGGTTTTCGGTCCGTCGCTGTCATCTCCACTGAGAAGGAGCTCGTTTTCTCCTCATCGGATCGAACTGAAATTCCTTCCAAGATCAGGGAACTGAATCCGATGATCGACTCGCGGCTTGCCGCTGGAGGAGCTAGCACTGGGATTATTCTCGATCTAGGAGACCTCAAATGGTTGGTTGAAGGCGCAAGTCAACAGCAGAGCATGACCGATGTGGGCCGCTCGGCCGTGGCCGAAATTAGCGGGCTCCTCGTCCGATTTGGCGGCAGATTGTCATTAGTCGGCACGGCGACGTGCGCAACTTACCTCCGATGCCAAGTTTATTTCCCAATGATGGAGAGTGATTGGGATCTGCAGGCAGTACCCATCGCCCCAAGATCAGCTCCTTTCTCTGGCTTGGCCCCGAGGTTTGTTTCATTGCTTAGCTTTGCTTCTCTTTCTCGAGTATTATGTGAGCAATGGAAAATTGAAGAGTTTGTGGGGTTTGAATCGTTTCAGGGTTGGAAGTAATGTGATACTAAGCAGCAAAATTGAATCTTTCGGCACGCCGAGAGGTTTTCCCGCGTTGGGTGTCTCCGGAATGACGCTGAGAAAGCCATCGGAGAGCCTCGACGCCTTCTGTAAGAATTCCCTATGCAATCTCTGCAAGGAAAGCTACGAGCGCGAGGTAGCTAAACTTGGAGAGGATGAATCCGAGAAATCTGCCGAAGGCACACAGAATGCACGGAAATCTCTGCCCCGCTGGCTTCAGATTGCAACCACGCCATCCCCTAATCTCCAGGTTTGAACTCTGAACATTTAAGTTAAAAACAGTTTCCAACGAACAAATTTCAGCTTTTTAATAACATGAACCCCAATGCTAATCAGAACAAGGAACAAGAGCTGATGAAAAAATGGCGCGATAACTGCTTCCGACTCCACCGCAACTCCTTGCCGGTTGCATCCAAACCTCCAATTACTGGTTTTCCATCAACGAAGCCCATCCCAATCAACCCGACCCAACTCAAACTCACCCTTCAAACAACCACCGTCCATACCATGCCGGAAAGGCCGCCAAGCCCCGCTGCAACAGCAATCAAGACCGACCTCGCCCTCGGCCCTGTTCAAAAGCCTGCTGCAACCAAATTCACTGGTGACGCGACGTCTATTAAAAGGCTTGTCAACGGCTTATTAGATAAAGTTAGCTGGCAAGCAGAGGCGGCCTCCGCAGTCGCCGCCGCGGTGATACAATCCAACTCCGGTATCGGCAAGAGGCGTAACGGTAGCCAAAAAGCCGACACCTGGCTCCTATTCGCCGGTCCAGATCGGGTTGGTAAGCACAAAATGGCAGTTGCTTTATCTGAATTAGTGTTCGGCGCCACACCACTCATCATCCGGCTGGGATTGCCGGAGGCGGCCGCTGGAGACGAGCCTGAAGAGTACAACGTCAGTTTCCGTGGGCGGACTTCTATTGATAGAGTGGCAGAGGCCCTTCGTGTTAATCCGTTCTCTACTATCTTCTTTGAGGACTTTGATCAAACAGATTCCGCGCTTCGGGGTACCATCAGGAGGGCGATGGAAAGGGGCCGGCTTGTGGATTCCCGTGGTAGGGAAGTCGGGTTGGGGAACGCAATCTTTATCCTCACCGCTGGATGGTTGCCGGAAGAGCTTGGGAATTCGAATGAGGAGCTCCGGCGATCGGAAGAGAAGATCACCAAGCTGGCAACCTCAGGTCGTCAGCTGCAGTTCCAGCTTGAAGAGAAGACCAACAAGCGTCGCAGTCAGTGGCTCTTCAATGATGAAAGGCTCATTAAGCCGAGGAAGGATTCTTTATCGCTAGACTTGAATCTTGCCGCCAGTGCCGGCGCCGGCAATGAGGAAGCCTGCGAGGGCTCCTTGAACTCTAGTGATCTCACGGTAGAGCACGGGCTAGAGCATGGACATGGCCGTCTTGTGATGCAGAGCTTGGCGACACCGATACTTACGTCATCATGGACATCAGACCTAATCGAATTGATCGACTCCACCATAGTGTTCAAACCCATGGACTTCACGCCGCTTCGAACCAAAGTTTCAGATTCAGTATCAGCGAAATTTACACAAATCATGGGGGAAGGATGGTCGATCGCAATTGATGACGATGCGCTCGATCAAATGACCGGCGGAGTCTGGTTGGGAGGTGATGCATCCAACCTGTTCGACGAATGGACTGACCGAGTTCTCGCACCTGCAGTCGAGCAGTTAAAAGGTCATCCGAAGGTTGACGAAGGAGTAATCGTGCGACTATCGTCGGTGAAGAGTGGAGTGCAGTTGCATAAAAGTTACTTGCCGGCGTCTGTGAAATTAGCCGTTGGCGACCGTTGAAGAACAAATTTGCCAAAAAAGGATCTTCGTTCCTGGATAGATTTGTAAATATAGGAAGAGGATGACGGTTAAGGAGAATCTCAGGAGCCCTTTTGAGATTACAAATGGTGATTTTGAAGCCAAATATAGTTCTACTGTTATTGAAATATGAAAATATTAATTTGTTTTTAATACTCTCTGGTATATACGTAATTTTGTTCAATACTTTTATTCCCTTAATGATTTAAATTAAGGGATGTGATGGCTGAGAATAAAAGGACAAGATGTCTAATTTTTTTTTACGAGGAATGAACTTTTAACCTTTTGTATGACTCCCTGTAAATTACACTAAAGCGAGTTTATGATTCCCATGAGATAATTTCAGAGGAATTTGAGAACTTTGAGGATGCATCTGTCATTTTGTGATTGTTTGGGATTGGGATTGAATTTGGTCCCCAGTTCTTCAGGAGAATCAGAATTCTGATTTTCATGATAGAGCTGAAGGAACCTGCTTTGAAGTAGTTTAATTTTAATTATACTGTGCAAATAGTTGAAATGCTTTTTCACATAAAAGGGGATGACCCCTTCTATTTTTTTGGACAAATTATTCTGTGTGGAAGCTGGACACAATTCTATGTTTGAAGGTCAATCAAGTGCAGTCACGTCAGCGGTATCAAGCCACGATACCGAGCGGAATCGAGTAGTACCAATCCGCGGTACCGAGCGGTATTGATTAGTACTGAGCCGCAGTACCGAGCAAAATGGTGATGTTGCGCATTTTGATTGGTCTCCGGACGGTGTTCGGCGTCCGCACAAAATAATGTTTCTTTTTTTATTTTCATTTTTTAAGGAAATGTTCATAGTGCTCAGATCTTTATAAATTAGGCAATTGTAAAGAACTTATATCATGCATAGTGTAATTTCTCTTTGAATTTCTACCAAAACAGGGATTTGTAGTAGGTATAAATATCCATCAAAGATTCAAAGATGAGAAGTATAGGCTTGCAAGATTAGAGGGGATTGTGAATCCTTTTCTCAAATAAATAATTTGAGATTACTATGAAAAAATAATTTTATTAGTGATTTTAAATAGTAATAATAGAATTATTAAGAAAAAATAATTTGTTTTAAGTTATGCCAATTCTAATTTTTTTTTCTAAAAAGTTGAACATTAATTATTTTTTAGCACATTTAGGTATAAAAAATTCATTATAAAGATCTCTGAAATTCCATAAAAAATAAAATTATATATAAGCGTTCAAGAAAATTTATATATGTATATTATTTTTTGATAAATATAATAAGTGAGAAAATGAGAAAAAAAAATATAATGAGACATCCACTTGTTTGATTTCTTCATTATTTCTATCCCTCCAACTATTCAATGAGAAACATTACCTGAATATTTTTTTTTCAGAAATGATGTTCATGAACCTGCTTACATTTATGTGGCACATTGTTGTCATGAAGGTGATGCTCATAAAATTGATGGGGCCCATTTTGTGGCAAGGCGGACGAATCACAAGAAGACACGAATCGTCTTATCTACTACGTGCGAAAAATATTTCCCTTGAAATAAAAAGAACTTTTATTTGGTCCGGTGAACGTACGTAGAGCTACGTTCGGCCGACACTAAGATCGCAGGCACAAACGAGAAATACCGAGCAATACCAATAATAACGAGAAATATCATTATGTGAAGACAAAATATCGAGTAATACCGAGCAATACCGAGTAATACCAAAAAATACCGAGTTTTTTCTAGAAAAAAAACTCGGTATTTTTTTGTTATGCTCGGTATTGCTCGGTATTACTCGGTATTGGTCTTCCCAGAGTGGTATTCCTCGTTATTATCAAACAATACCTAGCAATACCTACCAAATACCAAGCAAAAATCGAGTAACAATCCTTTGACAGAACGTAGATCTACGTCCGGTCAGAGGACATAATAAAAGTTCGAAATAAAAATATAAAAAATATTATGTAAAATGCGAGCAGTAAATATTTTGCATTTAGATTTAAAATTAGATAAATTTTATTATGTGTCTGTTGATAATGGAATAATGGATGAATATCAGCAATGCAGCTATGTGAATGCTAGAAATAAAATTTGATCACAAAATGATAGTATTATAACATAAAATATTTCATGAAGATAGCTCATAATATCTTCAACATTTACAAATATTTAATTATTTTAACAATTTATTTGATCACAAAAATTAGTCAAGATATGAATATCATAACTTCTGCTTCAATACATCAAAAAATAAAAATTTTGTCCAAAACTAATAAATAAAAGAATATTGCATTAGAAATTTTCTTGGAAAATATGTATTTCACAATGGAGATATTATTGGAAAATATTTATTTGAGAATGGAGAGATTATTACGTGCGGACGTTCGATTTTATGACTGTGAATAGTTAAAGCATAGGTATTGTTCATCATTATGTTTTTAGTGTTCACCCTAAGCTTGTACTGCTTACAGCCATAAAATCGAACGATTCTTTGTGCATTACACATTGTTATGTTAATGCTCATCTCTCAATATTAACACCAAATTTTCATTTTTTTTTAAATGTTAAATTTATTTCAAAAAGTGTTCATAGTTTTTAATTGTTTTTAGTAATTAACAGCCTTAAAAAGCTAAAAAACAAAAAAGAAAGGGAAATTTAAAAAAAACATGCACCCTGAGAGGGAATTGGTAGTGCACCCAGCTTGCAAGCTTAGTACCAACTAGCTAGCTTAACAAATTAAGGTTTCATTTGGGATAATTTTTTTACTATTTTCTTAAGTAGTTTTCTAGTACAAAATTTTAATTTAAAAAGTTTTTTTTTTTTAAATTGCTTTAGAAATAGCAAGAAAGTTATTCTAAACAAAGCCTAAATACTCATATGGATCCAATTTTTAGGTACCCTGTGCGGACACCGTACGACATCCAGAGACAAATAAACATGCAACACGTTGCCCTTTTACTGTACCCCGGCTCGATATTACTCGATTCTCAGTACGGACACCGACGCTCAATGCCGCGACATTCAGACATAGAGTTATATCCGACATCAGCACAAAATAATTTCTACTGAAATGTGATCGCTTATGAATACCTCCCCAGGCTTTTTGTCTGGCAAAAAGGGTGCATCTGCATTGCACGCGCTTCGTCCCTTTTAAGGCATTATTTAAGCAGGAAATAAGGCACTTTAACAAATCATCTGTCCTCTTTAGTTAGGCCAAGAAGATGAAGGATTGTCAATCAGAAAAAGTAGTGGCACAATACAAAGAAACAGCGTACAAAATCTTTTTCTCCTTCTTGATATTTGGGAGATTGTCTTTTTCTAGCTTTTCTTTTGCGCTTAAAGATCGCCTAAGAGCAGTGACCACAATGCCTATTAGCTTTGTACATCAAATAATATTTGAGGTAATAGGATTTGGTGGCCCATAGTAGCATGTAATTATATTATTGTATAGTGCGAAGGTAAATGTGTGGCATTAAATTTTTTTTTTTTTTTTAGAATGGTTAAACTATCTGAAAAACATAGTTGGGTGAGTATTTTGCTTAGGAGTGTCAATTCGGGTCAACGGTTGGGTTCGGGTCGAATCCGGATCTGATCCGATACTATTTGGGTCAATCCGAATCAGATCTGTTTTAAAAAACAGGTCAAGTTTCTGGACCCGAACCCGACCTGATTTGGGTCCGGGTCAACCCGACCCGACACGAATGACCCGGGGTTGACCCAAAATTGCTAGTTTTCAGGTCAAAAATTGGGTCAATCTCCGGTTTTCAGGTAAAAAATGAGTCAATATCGAGATTTCGAGTCAAAAATGAGTTTTCGTGTCACTTTCGGGTCAATTTCGGGTTGTTGGGTCAACCCGAACCCGACCCGATTTTTAAAACGGGTTGATTTGTTGAACCCGAACCCGACCCGTTTCGGATTTGGGTTGACCCGAACCCGGATTTTTTCGGATCGGGTTCGGGTCATGTTTCGGGTCTTGTCAAAAATTGTATTCAAATCATCTTATTTCAAAAATTCACTTTAATTCATTCAAGGAATCAATTCAGAAAGATCAGAATTCGTACGAAATTTCAGCGGCATAACAGCAGTATACAGAATTTACACAAAACTCACAGATTCATAAATTTACCAAATTACCACAGAACATTCACAACAACATTGTAAGACTTTCATTGTACTGACAAAACATTTTTCAACACGCTGATAATTTGCAGTTCGCTTAAAACACCGCATAATCCAAAATATCTGGTAAAAATCTTCTAGAAAATACTCAAAACGTGCACAATTATCATCTCAAAGACATACCAAAAGTTACGCGGTAAAACCTTTGTCAAAAGAAAATAATACCCAAAATTCGCTAACGGAAACAAAATACAAAACAGAAAACTGTTCAAAATCCTCGTTTCTGAAAATTGAGAAAGGCGGAATGTGCCTTACTTCGAGTCGGTCAACTTCTTTAACTAAAGCAACAGACGAAAACGGACCGGAGTCGCCCAAAAATCACTTTTTCTTCTTTTTCCTTCGATTTTCTCTCTCCTGGGCTTTTCTCTCTCTTCAAAATATCTCATTTCTATATATATTCAGACGGATCATCCCGGACGATCGAAACTTCGTCCCGGGACGATTCGGCTCTGGACGAATTTCGTCCAGACGAGATTAATTAACGTCCCTGAACGATTTGGCTCTGTAAAATTTTCGTCCAGACGAACCATGCAGCCAAAAACATTTCCCGCACAACCTGTACCGATCGTCCCGGCACGATCCAACTTCATCCCGGACGATCCTGGGAGAAAAATGGTCTTTACAGCCAGGGTCAACCCAAACCCGACCCGATTTTTAAAATGGGTTGATTTGTTGAACCCGACCCGTTTCAAGTTCGGGTTGACCCGAACCCGATTCGGGTTCTGATCATGTTTCAGGTTGTGTCAAAAATTGACACCACTAATTTTGCTTATAAAAAAGCGCTGGTTATGAATATTGGAGGGATTAAGGATTTATTTCAGATGACTTTCTTACTGCTTCTTTTAACAGTTTTTTAGTAAAAAAAAAAATTGTACTATAAAACTATTTTTAAAAGTAGTAAGAAAGTTATCCCAAACGAAACGTAAATCTCATGTATCATTTTAATTTTTCACTAAATTAAAGAACTCTTTATTTACATAGGAATGTGGAAGCAAGACTTAGGATTCAAAGAAATACAATTTGTTCAATAATTAAATATTTTTATTCATCATTGCTTCGATAGAAAAAATTGTTCATGTCAAATACAGCTTTTATTTGGTCTCTCTTCAGATTCATGAATATGAATGCTAA